GGGGGGGGGTTGTGCATAAAAGCCCTAATAATAGGGAAATGAGTAATGAAAACAGCAAGCATCCATTTGGTAATTAATGAAAATAGGATGTTGTTAACATTGAAAAACACTCATGTTACAATAATATGTATCTTTTTGTCTTGCTATATAATATTTACACATATAAACTCAGGTATAAAAGTATTGAAGGGAATATGCCACACCGTTAAAAGTAGCCTGTTAGTTACTTAGTGCTGCTGTAATAGAAGTAACACTAGTGGGTCGCTTTAATGACCAGAAATTAGTTTTCTCACAGTTCAAGATTCAGGACACCGGCTGTAGGGATAGGCTTTCTCTGTCAGCTCTGGGCAAAGGTCCATGTCTCTTTTCAGCTTCTGTTCCTTGGTTCCTTGGAGATCTTCATATAGGGTGACATCTACCCTCCTTCATCTGTGCTTGATTGCTTCTGTGCCTAGTCTGCTCCTTTTATTTATCCAAACTGATAGGTTTATGACACCATCCAACACTGAAATGGCCTAATTAACGTAACAGAGTGTTTAATTCCCAAGTGGGATTACATTCACCTGTAACAACCAAAACCAAACTCATTGCTAACTAATCGATTCTGACTCACAGCAACTCTATAGGACAGTGTTCAACTACCCAATAGAGTTTCCAAGGTTGTGAATCTTTCTGGAAACAAATCACCACATCTTTCTGACAAAGAAGGGTTGGTGGGTTGAAACTCTCAACCTTTTGGTTAGCAGCCAAATACCTTAAGCACTGCTCTACCAGAGTTCTTTATTCACAGGTAATTAAAACTCACTGCCATCCAGTCAATTCCAACTCATAGTGACCCCCTTTGGGTTTCCCAGGTGGTAAATCTTTATGGAACTAGATTGCCCAGTCTTCCCTCCGAGGAGTGGCTGGTAGATTTGAACCTCTAGCCTTCTGGTTAGCAGTCAAATGCCTTAGGCACTATGCCACCAGAGCTCCTTATTCACAGGTATAGGGGTTGGGATTTTCAACACATATGTTTGTGGGACACAATTTAATCCATAACAAGGGGTAAACCATGGGTGATTTTATCTTTATGTTAATCTTTATTTTCTAAAATAAGCATTATTAATTAGGAAAAAACGTAAGTCTTAAAATCATTTTAATTAAGAAAAACAAGCCTGGAAGCATTAAAAATTGTTACAGGAGAGGAACATGGAGGGCCGAGCGATGGAAGTTTTCACAGTTTAATTCACAGTTAAATTTATCAATTACTCAGTTTCCCAAATTGCTCAGTAGGAGTTTGTAATATGTTACTCGGAAGGTTTTAGTTCCTCGCTTTTAATATTAATTGTAACTGAGACTTTTGAAAGGTAGCTTTTTTTTCCCATTAAAAAGGATAAAATGAAATAAATTGTGTTGTCATTATGTGCCATGGAGTTGGACCCCACTCATAGCGACCCCTCCCTGGGTTTCCAAGGCAGTATCACTACGGAAGTAGATTGCCCAACCTTCCTTCCTAGGAGTGGCTGGTGGGTTTGAACCGCCAGCCTTCCGGTTAGCAGTCAAGTGCCTTAGGCACTACACTATCAATTAGGTTACTTAAATTTCTTTTCAATTTGATTTAAAACAAAAACAATACCTTAAAAAGACTAACTCCCATTAAAATTAGTGCAGCATGACAATGATAAGAACACTGTGTCATTCTTCATATTACTTCGAATGAAAAGAGTTCACAGGTACTTCCATGCAAGTACTATGCATGGAAGTAAAATCAAAATCTCAACTTTTGAGTCCTGAGACCAACGCCACGGTAAATAATTTTGAAATTGACCTCAGAATTACCCAAAGATAACGATCCCGAGGTTTGATTTTCATTGAATATTAAGAACAAAATCATTTGGGAGGTGGGAAGGGGGAGGCACACAAAATTCAGAAATAAAAGAGCGAAAACCCAAGAGTCGCTTGCCAATTCCTTCTGAAATCTAGTCGCTTCCCAGTCCCTTCTAAGGGCCCTGGCGGGCCCTACCATCCCCACATCCCCCAGCGGTTGGAGGGAAGCAGTCCACCCCCAATACCCCTCAGAACTCTGTTCTCCAAGGTGTTTTTGTTGTTGTTATGTGCTGTGGAGTCAGACCCGACTCTTAGCGACCCCTCCTTGGGTTTCCGAGGAAGTATCACTACAGAAGTAGATTGCCCCATCTTCCTTTCGAGGAATGGCTGGTGGGTTTGAACCGCCAGCCTTCTGGTTAGTAGTCAAGTGCTTTAGCCACTATGCTACCAGAGCTCCTAAGGTGTTTTTAGGTACCAGGATTCTCCCAGCCCAGCTCCTCGGCTTCTCGCCCCGCCCTTCTGCGCTAGGCGCCCCGCCCCATCCTATCAGGTCTGCCCCGCCCCTTTCCGCCCTTTCCGCCTACCCTGCCTGGTCCAGCTCGTCGGTGTGTGACGTACTGGAGCGCCGAAAGGATTCTATTGCGCACGCCTAGGGCGGCCCGAGAAGGCGGAGAATGGCTAACTACAATGAGGCGCGGCGGTCGGCGGGCTCCTTCCCGGAAACGGAAGCTTGGGGGGCGGGCCAAGGGGGGCCGGGAGCCCGCGGCGGTTAATTTCTTTCACCGTGTGGCTTCACTTCCCTGGGTTTGGGCTTCTCTGAGGCTGCGAGAGATGGTCAGGTCCGGACCTCGGCCGGGCCAGGTGAGGGATGTGGACTTGAGTTCACTGTAGGGATGGAGAGGGACGACTGAGATGGTTTTTGGACTGGGAGAATTGTAAAACTTCATTTGAAAAAAAATAAAAACAAAGACATTGAGGTAGTATTAAAAATGCTTGCAAAAGGGAGAGGGGCGGAGACTCCAAGTCTTTCCAGCCTAACACAGCCGCACTTGTCGGTAGATGTACTGTTTAAATCGTAGTCTTCAAGAGCATTGGTTTTGGTGTTAGACTTTGGTTCCAGTCTCAGCCTCTGCCGCGGGGTCGGGTAGCAACCTCTCCGAGCCTCAGATCATTGTTGCATCAAGTCCAGGTCAAGTCCGGGCCCATCCACTAAATGCTACTGTGAGCTGAACTTCCGTGCTATTTTCCTCTCTGTGTCACTGTTGCTGATACTTTACTACTGTTTAAGTCCCAACTGATAACCAGGCCTGTAGCCTCATCCCTCTCATATGCACGTACCTAAACGATTGTCTACCCTGTTTAAAATCTGACACTGGGGCATATCTTTATTTTATTATTATTTAATATTTACTGTGTCTTACAGGGTCACCAATGAGTAAGAATTGAGCCGAAGGCAATGGGTTTGGTTTTTAGGTGAAAGCTGACACAGCGAATTAGGTTCCCCTTTAACAATTTTTATGCATATTGTTTCGTGCCATTGCTTACAGTTTTCACAATGTGTCAGCATACTCATTAATTATTTCCATTCTATTCTGTTTCCATTGATCTAGCTCCCCTCCCCTCCTTGCCCTCTTATCCTTTTGGGTAAATGACTGTTTGGGCTCACATAGTTGATTGGTTAAGGGAACACGTTACTCAACGAGTGATAATTGTTTATTTTATAAGCCAATCTATTATTCGGCTGAAAGGTGACCTCCAGTGCCAAGTTCAAAGGGTCTAAGGGCAATAGTCTCTGGTGAGGAGCAAGTCTTTTTCAAGATAAATCCCAGTTCTTAGGCCTGACAACACAGCCATTTTTGGTTGCTGTTTGTATATTTATTTGAAATACTATGAGCAAGGAAAAGACAAGCATTAAGTTAAGTCAGTAGATGAAGGTACAAACATGTTATAAAACTGAGCCAATACTTAACTCAATCTATTAAACTTGTCTGTAACTGGAAAAATCTAATGAACTTTAAAAAATACAGATACCTGAAAAATACAACCACAGACTTTGATTTAATGGGTCTGGGGTGTGGCCTGGGCACTGAAAAGTTTTCAAAAATGCCCCAGGTTATTCCAACTGGCACCTAAAGTTTAGAACCAAAAATCAGTTGTTAATTTTCAAAGATGAATTCCAGGGTGGGAGAATATCTCAAGAAAAATGATTATCCTATAAATAGTTTATAGCAGAACTCCAGGGCCATCAAAGGTATATATTTTCATATAAAACAATGAGAATACTGTCCCTTGAAGTTTTTTGTTTTCTTCTTCCTGGGGTGGCTCTCTGCCAACTTAACAAATTTTATTTGCTTTTTCATCAAAAACTGGGGGAGAACATAATCGTTTCTTGATTGGAGTTTGATTCCTTTTTAGCTTTGTAGGTGGGAAATAACCTTGGACTGGAACACACCTATTTTTAATTTGGCACTTGCCTTTCCTGTTCTTACCTTCATTCCAAGAACACCCTGCGTTCTTCACCTATTAGTCCTGCTGTGCCCTAGCCATGCCATGCCCTGTAGCTTCCATGCTCATTCTGATACTCTGTGCCTCCCCTGCCCTTCTGTACCTGCTAGCACTATTTCCATCTTTGTCCTTCAGCTAAAGGACAAAGCCCTCTCACGGCCCCATTAGTTGGGTGCTCCTTGTCATGTAGCATCCTGTGCTAACCTTTATCAGACCACTCACTTTTCAGGCTAGAGGTTGCTAAGTACTTCTTCCACTAGATCATTTTATCTTTGTCTTTTCTGCATCTGAAAGAGGAGTACTGGTGGCATAGTGGTTAAAGCACTTGACTGCTAATGGAAAAAAGTTAATGGTCGGAAACCATCAGTCAGTCAGCCACAATGCAGGAGAAGGATGTAACAATCAGCTTCCATAAAGATTCAAAAACAAACCCAAACTGCCGTTGAGTCGATTTTGACTCATAGCAACCCCTCCTTGGGTTTCTGAGGTGGTATCTCTACGGAAGTAGATTGCCCAGTCTTTCTTCCGAGGAGTGGCAGATGGGTTTGAACCACTAGCCCTCTGGTTAGCAGTCAGATGCCTTAGGCACTATGCCACCAACAGCCTTGGAAACCCTATGGAACAGTTCTGCTCTGTCCTGAAGGGTCAGTGTGAGTTGGAATTGACTACTGAAGGGCAACGAGTTTGTTTTTTCATTTCTGCATCTGATGTAGAAAATTTTCAGGGAATGAATCAAGTATTCTGCACACAGACCTTCTACTTACTGCTTCTGTTTGCTCTCTTTAATTACTTTGTCTTCCTATCATTTATCGACTTACCTGTCTTTACCATTAATATGAATCTTACACTTTTTTCAAGACTTGGCTCAAGATTTACTTTTTTTACTTCCAGAGCAGCCTACCTTTATGGATCAGATCTTCCTGTTATGTTTAATGAACTCAAAATATGTACAGTCAGCAAATGGGGGAAAAAACCTGATAAAACACCTATCACACACATGGTATAGTTGTGCAACAAAATTCAGTTTTCTTAAAAATACAATAGCTTAATAATAATAATGTTGTAGTTTCTGTCAAGTCACCTTTGACTCATGATGACCCCATATATAATGGAAGAAAACGTTACCTGATCCTCTGCCATCTTCATGATCGTTGGTATGCTGAAGTCCACTTTGCTAGCTACTGTGCAATTTGAGTGTTTCCAACCTAGTGGGCTCATCTTCCAGCACTATATCAGACAATATTCTTGGATTCCAAAGGGTTTTCATTGGCTAATTTTTGGAAGTAGATCACAAGGCCATTCTTCCTAGTTGTCTTATATTAGAAACTCCACTGAAGCCTGCCCATCATGGGTGACTCTTCTGGTATTTGATCTACTGGTGACATAGTTTCTAGCATAGCAGCATGTAAACCACCATAATATGACAAATTGACAGATGTAAGATGGAAAAACAGTAATAGTGGCTTGATGCTCTTTTAATTGCTTTTATGTATTATAACTCATAAATCCTCACAATAGCACTATGAGGTGGATAGTATTATCATCTCCATTTTATAGATGAAACTGGAAGATGGAGAGGTCAAATAACTATCCTGTAGTTACACAGCTGGTTAGTTGAGACAGGATTCAGACCCACATAGCTGGTACCTGACCATTCTTTTAAGTATCATACTTATTAGATGTGGGACTTAAAAAAAAAAATCACCTTTCTGAACCTTAGATTCCTACCATACAAACCTTACTGCCACTGGGTTGATTCTGACTCATAGCAGCCCTGTAGGACAGACTAAAACTGCTTCATAGAGTTCTCAAGGCTATAAATGTCTATGGAAGCAGACTGCCTCATCTTTTTCCTGTGGAGCAGCTGGTTGGTTTGAACCACCAACCTTTTGCTTAGCAGCTGAATGCTTTAACCACTATGCTACCAGAGCTTCTGCTACCACATAGGATATGGGTTAAATGATAGTGGGAATGAAAGGCTATAGTACACTCTAAGTCATTTTTACCAGTCTTTCGTTGGTAGGAGATATACCTGCTGAGAAATGCTTATATTCTTTTAAGAAGCACAATAAAAATTTTAATGATAATGCCCAGTGAAAGTAAGCATGAGTTAAAACTGATTCTCTCATGTATTGTGAATTGGGCATATATCTTTTGGAGAACAGTTTTGCAAGGTGTATCTGGGGTCTTTAAACTGTTAATAACCTTTGACCAAATTATTATTTTAATCTTAAATATGAAAAGGCTAGCTCAGTATATGGGAAGATTTACTCTTGATTTTAAAAAAGTAATTGCAAAAAATATGAAGGAAACCAAGTGCATTTTATATTCTCACATAAATACTTTACAACCATTAGTATTTTTTGAAGACTATCTTCATGTGGAAAACAATCTAAAAATAAAACCACAAGATCCATGATTTAAAAATGTCTAGATAAAACATGCTTATGATAAAGATTAGAAGCCCAAGTAGCATAGATCACACCTAGTGCCCAAATTTTGGTTTCTAAATTTCATTCTCTACCAAATGGAAAAATAGGGAACTCCAGGGCTGAAGGAAGGGAACTCTGAGTCTGGAGCATCTTGTACAAAGTACGGAAAAACTCAAAAAGTGATGAGGACATGTTGATACAGGCATGACTTTGAAGGAGCTCCCACTGACCCAGTCTGGGATCATTTGAGCATCAAAATAAGTAATGATAATAGATAATAATTCCATTTAATAAATTAGTAATCATTTAGTTCATATTGATATTTACAAATTAATGAAGGAAAAATACTTTGTGAAGTTGAATGCTTACTAATAAATGTAGAAAGAGTAATATTGTTAGAAAATTACCATTTGACATCCTAATTTATTTGGGCAAGAATCAGTAATGGATATTAAAACTGCTAGATGAAAGTTTAACCAAGCCCCCTAGATCAAGAAAAGGGAGGGAGCAGGAGAGGGCGGGGACCTGCGGAGTGGCAGGATATCCAGGTAAAAAGGGGCGGGAGGCAAGGCTAGGCATCAAGCCCCCTAGAGCCAGGAAATGGATGGAGTGGCCAGGGACCACAAAGTGGCAAGTTCCAGGTAGGAATTAGGTAAGTGGAAGGGACAGAGGTTTCCAACAGCTAAGGGAGACAAAGTTGTCTGTCAGTTTGTCATCCTGTGGGGTTTGTACATTGCTGTGAGGCTTGAGGCTGTGCCACTGGTGTTTCAGATGCCAGCAGAATTACACATAGTGCACAAGTTTCAACAGAGCTTACAGACTAAGACAGACTAGAAAGAAGGAGAAGGCCATCCACTTCTCAAAAATTAGCTAGGGAAAACCTTATGAATAGCAGAGAAACAATGTCTGATACAATCCTGGGCA